AGTGAGAATGGAGAGACTCAAAATAAGCACATTCTATAGATTGGAGGGAATTTAAAAAAAAGAAAATCCTAGCTAATGGGTAAAGACAGCTGAGTTGTAAACACGGGCTAAATAAATAAATAAACAAAGGTTAAAAAACAACACTGTCTTTACATCACTACAACACAGATTATCTGTTTTTCCAGAGTGACTGTCACTGCTTTTTCCCATACATATAAAGGGTCACCTGAATCTGTTATGACCCAATGGATTTCTCCCAGAGTGGTTTTTTTTTTTTTTTGGGGGGGGGGGGTGTATGATGTGGCCAAGATTAAAGCAAATCTTCCCAAAGCAAAGCCAATGTTGAAGTAATAGCCAGGACAAATACAGTGGTCTAAAGTGCTGGCAGGGAGTCTCCTTGGGTCATCTGTTGCTAGAACAGGTTCTTCCCTAGATTTCTGAACTGGACCAGAGTTTTCCGGGTAGTTGGGAGGTGCTTCAAGCAGTCGAAGCTCTTTGGATGACAGTTGAAATGATTACTTAAGAAGCGTTTAAGAGTTTGCACAGCCTCTGAGAAAGTGTCCAGAGAATAGACGTGCTTGCCACCATGCTAATGGCTATGTATTTCTGGAAGACTTGAATAACCTGGACAAACAGCTATAGTTTCAATCTGGCCTCCATTTTGGCCTCAACCTGCATTAGTCACCCAGTTCCACTCTGGAAGCTGCGGATAAGTCAAGGTACCAGAAAGGAAGAATCAGATAGCTGGTCAATTGAATAGTCCAACTGCTGGTGCATGAGGGCTTTGGTCACTTAAAAGAAAAGGAAAACAGGTCTTGAGAGATGGCTCAGCCATTCAGAACACTTACTGCTTTTGGTTGTGTCCAGCATCCATATCAAATGGTTCACAACCACCTGTAACTCACATTCTGGGAAATTCAATGTCTTCTGGCCTCCAAGAGCTACTGCACTCACTCATATGGTACATACACTCATGCAGGCACAAATAAATAATAAATAAATCCTTTAAAAAATAAAATAGGAAAATTAAGGAATGCTGACAATAAAAACAAACTTGAAAATAACATTTCTTCAAGGAATTTTACCTAATAGTGCTTAACTCTTAGCCAAATACTCTTGATGGCAAGTGGATCCTCCTGATCTCTTTCAGGACATACACACAGTAAAATAGGAAGGACAATAACCGAAATAAAACATACTTCATAATATACAGAAAAGAATATAAGTTTTGGTATGGTAGAAAGGGAAGTAGAAAGACATATGCAGAGAAAACCAGTTTGTTTGCCTCCCATTAAGATACGAGTTGAAAACAGCAGCTATCTATCATACAGACACAGTGGTCACTGTCTGTAATTGCAGCACTTGGGACATGAAAATCACAAGTTTAATGCCTGCCTGCTTTACATGGTGAATTCAAGGCCAGCCTGAGCTACATCACAAGACCCCGTCACAAACCAAAAAAACTATAAAAAGGAAATAAATAAAGAAAAAACAGTCGAATTAGTTTAGAGGTTCAAAATACATAAATTATTATAAAGTTACTTTGATTGCTCTGTATGGCTAAGTTATTGTTCCTGGTTCAGAAGGTATAACTGGAATATTCTATGAACAAATAAGAAAGAAGCTTCTCAGAGTACAGAGCCAATTGGGTCAGGTTTTACGACCAATCATACTTTCTACAAATGTTCAGTGTCATTTTTAGAAATGTGTACTTGAGCACAATGGAGTTTCAAGCCTACTAAATGGATTCATAAAGATATTAATAAAACTGTAGAAAATATAAAAAAATGTTTCTGTTTTGTACAAACACAACGTGCATTTTGTTTAGTTGTGTTCATATTCAAACAACATGAAAATATAAATAGTAGCATATTCCATTCAGTCAGTCCATACACAACGAGCAAAGAAAATCACAAGATATTAACTGACTAGATGTACTATATGCAAGTCTTGTACACAATTTTGATGATTTTCTTGCCTAGGATATTGAAGATTTCATAATGAGAGTTTTTGCTACTTTTTCAGCTTCCTTAAAATGAACAAAGGTACCTGAAATGTTTAGTTTACATACGTGGAAGGAATAGCTTAAAATATGTACCTGCAAAGTGATTATCATAACATTTGGCATAGAAAAGATGTTAAAATTTTGGTCTGATATAAACTCAAATTTTAATTAAGGTAGAAAAAGAAGGAAGTGCATTTAATTTGGAAATACACTAGGGATGAGAACAGACAAAATGATATGCTGTTTCTCCAAAAGAGCTTGATGATTTTGGAAGAGATGATGAAATACCATGACCAAAATTAACTTGGGGAAGAAAGGATTTATTTCATCTTACAGTTGTAGTCCATCATTCAGGGAGGTCAGCGCAGGAACTGAAGTAGAGATCATGGATGAGTGCTGTTTGCTGGCTTATTTCCCATTGCTTGTTCTGCCTAATTTCTTGTACAACTAAGGACCATCTGCCCAGCAGTGAACCACCCGGAGTTGCCTGGGCCCTCACACATCAATCATTAATCAAGAAAATACTCCGAAGACTTGCCTCAAGGCCAGTCTTACAGAGGCAATTTTTTCAGTTGAGGTTCCTTCCTTCTTCCAGATGACCCTGGCTTGTGTCAAGTTGTCAAAAAAACTAATCAACACAGGCATTATGTGTAGTTTGTGAAACAACTCTCACAGAAGAAAGAAAAAAAGTGAGTTGTATTTGAAAATAAAAGTAGCTTCAGAGCACATATGGACACAGACACACAGACATACACACAAATACACACGTCACCAGAAAAAGCACCAGGGTGAAGCAGTACTTTCATTTCTTTGTAGTATTCTCTTTAAATCTGTGTATTTGCTTTCTACAATTTCAGTTGCCTGTTATCAACCCTGGTCCAAACTTGTTAAATGAAAAATTCCATAAATTAACAATTCATGAATTATAAATTTCAAGTTGTTCTCAGTAGTGTATTAAATTCTGCGCCCTCTGATACTGAGTCATCCCTTTGTGTAGTGCATTCCAGCTATACATGGATTTGTCCATGAGTTATTTATCCATAACTGTTTTGGTTGTCATATGAACTGCATGTAGACAAGTAACTGTTATTTTACTTAACAAATGGCCCCCAAAAAAATGCTATTAATAAAACATAAAAAAAAACACACAAATGGCCCCAAGGCACAAGATTAGTAATTCCGGAAATTTGAATATGACAAAGTATAATAAATTGTATTGGGGAAAGATGATAAAAGCAAGGTACTCCTTGTATATTAAATAGGCAATTTTTAAAGTCAAAACTGTAAAAGTCAAACAGAGCCTTTTTTAAACTGTTATAGACTATGTACAAATTATTTATTAGTTATTATTTATTTATTAGTTTCTATTTATTTGATACTGTTATCATTGTTAGTTTCAAATATTGTTCAGCTGTTTTACGAGTATAGCAAAAACCCTACGGAACAATGGTCAGCTGTTTTACAAGTGGAGGAAAGACCCTACGGAACAATGAAGTTTCCCACGGGGCGGGGGGGGGGGGTAAGGGGGAGCGCGTGGGAAGTGCATCAAAGTTCAAGATGGCTGCTGAGTAGTCGGTTGATCCTGATGAGAATGCCGAGGCGTTTGCTGAGGTAAACTGCCCTACCCAAATTGAAGGGTTCTCTAAGCCCCAAAAGTTTAAATTAATATGTGGGGGTACTACCGGAGAATTTTAAGTAAAACAGTATTTGTTATAATTAACATGCTTTCGGTTGTGAGAAAGTGACGGAGCCTTATTTGGGAAGCCTAATTCTATAATCTTAGTAATCTTGGTAAAGATGTTACCATCGCAGCTCTAGAACTAAAAACCAAGACACAAAGAGATGTGATGTGATTTTGTGAGGTCACCCTGATAGGATTTGTTGCTAATTAATAGGCCTGATTGCATCTGATTAGGCGTCACGGCAACCATTTTAAAGGCGGAAGATAGTAGAGCCTTTGATGAATATAGGAACAGGATTCTCCGACTCATTTTAAGTCAGGGACCGTTAGCTGGTGCCTTTTTTATTCTGGCAGTGGGGAGTAGTTGTCATGGCGTGAAAGTCACGGCTATAAATTACAGAACTCAGAGGACAGGTCTCCAGACTTGTCTGGCGGGAAGAGCCTTTAACTGCTCTGCTCTCTCTTTGTGGGTCCCTATGCTTAACGTATTCTGGAAAAAAAAATAGGAGTGGGCAATCTGGGAGGCAAGGAAGGGCCCAGTTTTGACCTTAGTACTTGGAACCCCTCAGTCTGTGAGAAGGGGAGAGAGAAGCGGGTGTTTATATCGGCTTGACCAAATCCCCATAGGTGAAGAATATTGTCTATTGCAATGTTTCTCAACCTTTCCAATGATACAAACTTTTAATTTTCATTGCTACTTCAAAACTGCAATGTTGCTGTTATGAATTGTAATGTAAATATCTGATATGCAGAATATCTGATATGCGACCCCCGTGAAAGGGTCCTTTGACACCCCACACACACCAAAGGGTCGAGACCACCAGGTCTATTGGGTAGGATTGACAGATTTGAACAAGAATTTAGAATACCCAGTTAAATTTGAATGTCAGCTAAGCAGCAAATAATTTTGTAGTGTCACTATGGCCCGTGTAAATGTAGTGATAACCGTTTTACAAAAAATGTATTCATTGATAATGTGACATCCAAATGTAAGGGACTGTTGTGTTTGCCAGAACCACATTCACCCTCAGGCGGGTGGAGGGCGAAAGGGCGTCTGCGGGAATTCCAGGAAACTCAGAGGACCAGCGATCATTAAGCCGAGTGAGGCTAGTCCGAACAGAGCTGGAGATGCGTGGGGCATGGTCGCTGAGCATTTCTAAGGCGACTTCCCTGCACCTCTCCATCTCAGAGGCTGCCTGGGTGCACCGGTCGCTGTGCCCACACAGGTTGGAGCTCATGGCTGGGAACCCGCCCAGGCCCGCGAGCTGCTCGCTAAGACCGCCTTCCATCCCCCACAGGGGAGGAGCCTGAGCGAGGTGGAATCCGCCCGCTGCTCCCTCTCCCTGGTTGACGAGCCGCTAGAGAAAATGGAGCCTAGCAAGATGGCGCCTCCCAAGAACGCTCCGAGAGATGCCTTGGTAAGCGCGAGGGAAGAGGGGCCTGGCGTACTCGAACCATCAGGACCTGTGAGGAAGGCTGGACCCAGAGCCGGGCGGGGGACGAGGGTGGCTCACGCAGCGCTGGCAGCTGGGCTACGTGGCCAGGAAAGGGCAATGGGAATCCCCTGTCCCCGGGGCGCTGTCCTGTCTTCCGGGGAGCTCTTCCAAAGCTCTGCTGCAAGGCTTTATCTCTCTGGCCCGAGGTCTCCCGGACCCCCAAGTCCGTAGCCTCGCCGCTTCCCTGCGAGCCCTGATGGCAACATGGGTTCAAATGCTAAGTTCCCTCACTGTCACAACCGAAAATGACAGCCAGCTGGAGCCACCCTTTCCTCTGCCTGGAAAGCCAGTAAAGGCCATTCTTGTGCCTTTGCTCCCACTCTTGCTAAAAAGTTTTCAGCAAGAGGGTAAGACTGATTTTGTGTTGCAACTGACACTGGGTAAGGCACAAGGAGGAGCAGTAAGGGACTTTGTAGCAAACATAAAAATATGCATTCAGTCCAGCCTTGATTTCCTTCATTTACATCATGATTCTGGCTTTTTCTTTTTCTTTGAATCCACAGGTGATGGCCCAGATCCTGAAGGACATGGGAATCACAGAGTACGAGCCAAGGGTTATAAATCAAATGCTGGAATTTGCTTTCCGTAAGTTACATACATACACCCGAAAAATTGACCTTTTGAATTAGAAAAGATCATTTACTGTAACACTTTCAACCAAATTCTGTTGTTACTAATCTAGAAATGAGTAAAAGCACTGAATAGGAGCTCATGTTAAGGGACAGAATTATATATTATTTTTAATATATTAATATAAAATATGCATATATTTATTATTTCATCATATATATGGTATGTCTGTTTAAATAAAGTATCATGTGAATTAGGGAAATTAGTTATTAAAAGCAAACTTCATAAACGTTCCAGAAATTACTGGAACCTTTTCAAACAAGGAGCTTCAAATACTAAGATGCCTTCAGGTCAGTCTTGGTGGCACACAGTGTAACCTAGGCCTTGAGAAGGGGAGACAAGTGGATCAGTTCAAGGTCTCCCTTGCTTTACCTAGTGAGGCCAGTATGGGCTAGTTAAGATCTTGCCTTAAAACAAGATATATTAAGACTTCTCCATTCATTTAAGAAAACTTATTTTGCTCTTAAAGGCTATGTGACTACCATTCTCGATGATGCAAAAATTTATTCAAGTCATGCTAAGAAACCTACTGTTGATGCGGATGACGTGAGACTGGCCATCCAGTGTCGGGCTGACCAGTCTTTTACCTCTCCTCCCCCAAGAGATGTGAGCAAACATTTATTTGCAGTTATTTTTCCTTACGCTTTAAAAATTCTGTTTCTAATGAGGATTTTTCTCTTAGTTTTTACTAGATATTGCAAGGCAGAAAAATCAAACTCCTTTGCCACTGATTAAGCCATATGCAGGACCTAGACTGCCACCTGATAGATACTGCTTAACGGCTCCAAACTATAGGCTGAAGTCCTTAATTAAAAAGGTAAGAATTTCTGGGCAGCTGTAGTAGCTCATGCCTGTAATTCGAACAGTAGGAAAGCTAAAGCAGGATTCAAGGCCATCCTGGGCTATGTGAACGTCTTATCTTAAGAAGGGGTTGGAGGAATAAGTTTCAGTTAACTTATGGTTTTTATTTTTAAAGATTTATTCATTATACATAGAGTGCTCTGTCTGCATATACACCTGCAGGCCAGAAGAGGGCATCAGATCCCTGCATAGATGGTTGTGAGCTACCATGTAGTTGCTGGGTATTGAACTCAGAACCTCTGGATGACCAGACAGTGCTCTTAACCACTGAGCCATCTCTCCCACCCCTAGTTTATGTTTTTTTAAAAGGTGTAAGTAAGCCAGGCATGGTGTTACAGGCCTTTAATCCCAGCACTCAAAGAAACAGCCAGGCGGATCTCTGTGAATTTGAGGCCAGCCTAATCTACTCAGAGAAACCCTGTCTCGAAAAAGGAAAACAAAATAATTCCTGGAACTTTTTTTTTTTAATTTTCCAGAACTAGAAGGAACTTTATTATTGCATCTTACCCAGTGGAATTTTTTCTTATCTTACAACTGAACCTAAACTCATAGCCATAGCTTTTTTATGTGAGATCCAATAATAACGTGAGTGATATGACATTAGTAATCAGACCCTTTTTCAGACATGCGACCTAAGGCTTTCTCAGCACTGAAAAGTGAACTCTCCCTATTGGGCCACATTTGTTCTCTGAAAGTCTGCTGTAAGACAGTTTTAATTTAGGCAAAGTTAGGATACTGACTAGTTAAAAATCTAATATTATAATGCAAGTGAGCATTTGTCTCCATAAGACTCTATCTTAAATCTTATATAAAATATAGCTATAAAACTTCAGTCCTCGGTAGCATGATAAAAAGAAAAACACAATTAAAAACATTATTTTTTGCAATGGATCATACACTAATAACACACATCAGCAGTTAACAATTGAACTTCTAGTTTAGGTTTCAAATCTTAACATTAAAACTAACTTGTTTTTAAACCTCTAGGGACCTAACCAAGGAAGACTTGTTCCTAGATTAAATGTCGGTGCTGCTAGTAGCAGACCTTCTACTCCTACTGTAGGTAAGTAAAAGGGCCAAATGGCCTTTCTGAATAGTAAAAACAGAGCCTCAGCATTTGTGTTTGAACCGTAACTCAAGTCAAAATGGGAGTCAGAAACTCCAATATGTTGCCCTTGAGAATTTTGCTCATTCTCTGATTTAAGGGGGAAAAAATGCATTTCAATCATATTCAGTTAAAAAAAAAAAAGACTTATCCCAAATGACATTGACCCAATTCTTGTTGGTATAAACTGTGATTTCAGAAACACTTTACCCTTAGCTGTGTTTCTACCTTCTATGAGTCAGGTCTCCAAACACACCCATGCCAGCTACCTACTTATATAAGAACTTAAGGAAATGTCTTGATAAACTGGGTACAGGTTCAAAAAGCTCAAGGTTCTTTTTTTGGTTTGGTTGGTTGGCTTGGTTTGATTTTTTTTTTTTTTTAGACAGGGATTCTCTGTGTAGCCTTGGCTGTCCTGCACTCACTTTGTAGACCAGGCTGGCCTCAAACTCACATTACCTGCCTCTGCCTCCCTGAGTGCTGGGATTACAGGCATGTGCTGGCATTACAGGCATGTTTCACTGTGCCTAGCAGCTCAAGGTTCTTAAAAGTAGTTTTTAATACTTACCTTTTAAAAACAGTACAAGGACCGGCCCAGGTAACATGGAAAGACCCCATCTCAAAAAAAGACAAATCATACTAATCATCCTCTATTGGTCAGTGAGAGTGGACATTTCTGACATACAATGTTCCAAGCCTATCTTATATTTTTATAACCATGTTTTAGAATCAACCACTGCTCCAAAGAGCCTTGGTTCTTTTTAGTGAATAGTATTTAATAATGATTACTTATACTATTTTAAAAAGTTGTTTTCTAATTTTCATGTTTTATAGAAAAAAAATCTTTTCACTTGTATTAATTTCATGGCTCTTTCTGCCATTAACTCGAGTCTTATAGGTGTCATTATATTTTAAGTATAATGATTTTTTTTTTAAAACTGGGTCTTACTCTGTAACCCAGAATATCCTTAAACTTGTATCCTTCAGCCTCCTGAGCATTCAGATTACACCTGTAGAATACTGCGCAGCTAGCATTTGACCTTTGAAGTGTGAACTGTCTCTCTACAGTCTGAGGATATAAAGTTACAAGTCAGCATTTTTTTTTAATTTATTTAATTTTATTTTATGTGTGTTAGTGTGAAGGTGTCAGATTCCTTGGAATTGGTGGTACAGACAGTTGTGAGCTGCCATGTGGGTGCTGGGAATTGAACCCGGGTCCTTTGGAAGAGTAGACAGTGCTCTTAACCACTGAGCCATCTCTCCAGCCCCACAAGTCAGCATTTTAAAGTTAGTTGTATAGCTCATATAATCTGTATATGACCTCCTGGGAGCAGAAATTTGCGTAACTTTTCAGTCATATACTACTCACCTGTATATTCACACTAAGTGATTGTCAATTGTTTTGCAATTTATCTATGATGCCCAGACATGACTTGAACCCTAAGTTCAAGTGTTCTGCCTGTCTCTGCCACAAGACTAGCTGGACCATATAGGTGTGTGAAGCTGTACATAAATAACAGTAGGGTATAGCGATCAGTTACATGTAACAGGCAAGGAAGCCAATGTCAGGTACCAGTTACTTTTTTACATTGCTAGTCATTTGTTGTATATTCTTGAGGGTTTAACCACCTATAATGTAAGTCTTAGCCCAAAATTTCTATTAAAGAATCAATCTTTAAAATTAAGCAAACTTACATTTTTAAAGCACAGTAAACATATTTACTAAAGTAAGAAAAAACTCCCAAGAGAGGAATTACAGGGAAAGAATACCCATTGTAATTTTAATTACTCTGCCCTCACTTTTTGGTTGGTTGTTTGTTTTTGGTTTGGGGATTGTTGTTTTCAAGACAGGGTTTCTCTCCATAGCCTTGTCTGTCCTGGAACTCGCTCTTTAGACCAGGCTGGTCCCAAATTCACAGAGATCCTCCTGCCACTACCTGCAGAGTGCTGGCATTAAAGGCGTCCGCCAACACATCCTGGCTTCTGCCCTCATTTCTCCTCTCCCATCAGTCCTCTGTACTTTAAAAGTATATTCCTGTAAGCTATGGTGTATAGAATATAAATGTGTAATAAGTCATCTAACTAATATGATCTGTTCATTGTAACTCCAGCACCCCCACAAGCAGGATCTGTCCCAAATAAAGTTCCAACTCCAGTGTCAGTAACCAGCCAAAGATTTGCAGTGCAGATTCCACCTTCTCAAGCCACACCTGCCAAACCAGGTAACGTGATATGAAAGTGGGGTACAGAATTCATGAATAATTCTCAATTAAAGAGCAGTTTGTATTCTTGTAGGAAGACTTGCTTTAGTGTCACAACAGGAAGTTTATAGGTAAAGCTACAAATCAGGGTTCTTCAAGCAAGGTCTGTAAGATTACATGAAGTTTTACATATACCTAAAATTTCAGGAGGGTGGTATATTGAGTGTGCTCATCAAATCCTAAAATACTAGAAATGAAAAGAAATTGGGCTTCACAGATTTAAGGTATCTTCAGAGAAAATCACTTCTAGTAAAACTCAAGAAAATGATACAATTTAGTGATAAGTATGTTCTAAATGTAAATTTGAATGAAAAGGTGCCTTAATTCACTTCATAGGTGGCAGATAGGATTGGAATAATGTGAACAGACTGCTGGCGCAGCAGTTTTCTAATGTGTATCTTTAGATTGCACATCTTTTGAAATATATCTCCATACAAGAAACAACTTAAGATAAAAGCTGAGTCAGCAAGATTGCTCTGTTGCCACCTTGCTTGATGACCTGGGTTTAATCTCTAGGACCCACATAGAGAGAACCAACTCCTGAAAGTTGTCCTCTGACCTCCACATGTGTTCCATGATACACACACATAAGTAGGTAGATGCAATTGTTTAGAAAAATGCCCTATGAGAGAATCATATCTCCTGGCCTTGCACAGGAATCCAGTGTACTGGATGCTAATTACAAATTCAGGTAATTAAAAAAAAAACAAATTTTGTTGACTTTGCAACAGGTTTAGGGAGATTTAATATTTATGCATACATGTGTCCAAACATGCTTATGCCTGGTAAACATTACTATTAGCAAATTTAAGGTAAAAATGTTTAAAGACTGAATCCCATTCTTAATAATTACCTGTAGCTCTTCTATGATGTAGTTATGTGCTATGCTATTGAAACTTGTATAAAAAATTACATTCTGCTTTGTTGACCACTTTCAGATCACAGATTCATCTGTGGGGTTGGGGATTTCTTCTCTTTACAGCTCCTGCAACAACTTCAGTCCAAAATGTTCTGATTAATCCTTCCATGATTGGGCCCAAAAATATTCTCATTACCAACATGGTTTCCTCACAGAACATAGCCAGCGACTCAAACCCACTGAAGAGGAAGCATGATGATGACGATGATGATGATGATGACGATGACACTATGTAAGGAATGTCTATTTTACATGCATTATAATTGTCATGCCCATATGGTAACTGAACAGCCCAATTCTTTGTAAGTTTTATCTTTAGAAATTTAGTGGCAATATTTTTCACATTAGTTACACCTTGATAGGATTTGTTATGAGTGAAAATATTTTCTCAGTAGGCTTCAGGTATACAAGTACTTGCTTCTAGACAGCTTCATTAATGGTGAGTGTTGCCATGGCAATTCTATTTTTAGAAGCAGTTTTCTGCCATGTGTCACTGACAGCAGCACTTGGATTTCAGTTCCTAGTCTCATTTACATTTAAACCTGACTTTCTTTTGTTAGGTGAGCCATTCACATTAGCACCTTTTTAATCAAATCTCTCAATTTAGGAAACTGTTTTTGAAATAGTGGATTTAGAGGGGTGCTAAATCTATTTTGAACATATTTGGGTTTTAGTCTTTTCTAACTCCCCACCTCAACTCGTTACCTAGATTCCATTTGCTTTCTCTTCCCCTGTCTCATGGCCTTAAGTCACTTGCCATTGCCCTTAAATCTAAAAGACTGTCCCTGGAATTTGTAATAAGCCCTAGATGCCTGGCATTCATTCTACAGTTCCATTGGATCTGAGTGTCTACATTTGCTCTTTTTCACTCGTTAACAGAGCATTTGGGTCTCAGCCCTTGCCTTTCAGACCTGTTAAGCTTTTCTCATTGACAGGCAGTGTTGCATCAGCTACGTTCCAAGTTGACAGCATCAGGGCCTTTCATTTTAATAACTAACTGAAAACCTGCCTTGGTAACTTAACACTGGACCTGGACAAAACCACTGAAGAGCAAATGTTTTCAGTTGTTTTTCTTAGCACCTGCATATATGCTTTGGCCACTACTGCTTGAACCAGTCTGTTGGTTCCATTCCGATCACCTTTCTAGCTGCTGCTGAGGGTGTCAAGCCTAAAGGTAGATTCTAATGATCCGCCTTCCCTAGCAGGCTAACAGGGAAAACAGATTAGTGTCATCTGACTCCATTTAGATGTGACCTACAGAATTTCCCAACCATTATTTCTAACGCCTTCTATTTTGTTTTTTCTTTTTCCTTGTCTTTGGTTTTTCAAGACAAGATTTCTCTGTGTAGCCTTGGCTGTCCTGGACTCGTAGACCAGGCTGACCTCAAACTCAGATCCAACTGTCTCTGCCTCCCCCAGTGCTGGGATTTCAGGTGTGCGCCACCAGGCCCTGGCTTTCTATTTTGTTTTTATACACACCTACAAGAATCATTGGGAAAGTCAGCAAAGCTTTTTTTTTTTTTTTAAGTATAAAGAGAACTTTTTGGTTTTAAGTTCCATGTAGCCAACACTGGAAAAACATAAGCAGACGTTTCTGAAGCCTTTATGTTACTTAGAATTTATAGCCAATGGGTCATCAAAACTTAATAGTATCAGCAAAGGATGATATTTGACATATGAAAAATAGTACAGTAACAAGACAAATGTTTCATCCCAGTTTGAATGTTTAGGAATGTTAGGGAAAGTTTATCTGATCAATATAAGAGAAACGTGCTTTATACAACAGGGATGTCACTACTTGAATGTTCTCAGGGAGGCCAAATATCAGAAAGCTTAGGTTCTAGTACTACTTTCATTTACCAACAATGTGACCTTACTTTACCTCTGAGCCTTGTTCTCACTAGTAATAGGGAAATAACAACTACCCTGCCTACCTCACAGGGATGTTGTGAGGGTTTAGTTTAGTGGTATGTGAAAGTTCTCAAGATTATAAAAACTATTAATTATTAATGTATTTGTTCCAAGGTTATTAATAAAAAATTAACTATCAGTGACTGCTCATTTTCTTGACTAAAGTGATTCAAGGAAAGTGTATAGCAATTCAGATATGTATCAGAAGACAGCATGCTTTGCAGGGATTAGCATTTGACTCATGAAAAAAAATAAAAAACGTGGGGCTAAATCTTACAAACTTAAGACACTCTCTTCAATGGGAATCTTTGCATAGAGCTCAGTACTGAACTAAAACTGGCCTTAGCAAGGTTGCTTCTGGGGAGGAAGCCAGAAGACAGGAAGGTGCCTTTACAGTGCATACCCTTTTTGATTACATGTAAATCTCTGCCATTGGGTATAAAAAAAGCAGCCAACAGTGAACTAAAGAGCACTCAAGAGGCTCTGGCTGGATTGGAGTCCTTAGTTTCTAGCTAGCTTGAACAATATTGTAAAATTCTTGTCATTCTACACACACCCAAAAATGTAAATATGGATTCCTTAGATTATATGGGACCTATATGGACACATATACTCAGGGATTAAAGTGACTTTACGACTTAAAATCTGTGCCTCTTCAACATTTTATCAATTTATTAATCCTATATTAAATCTAGTAGTATACCTTTGTACTATTCTAATTCACAAATACAGGAATAGTTCATTACTAGCTATCTTTTTTGATTAGGTTATAAATTCCTTCAGGAAAAAAATTCCTATTTTCTCTCCAGTGTGTCTCATAGTACATAGTGGTACTGAAATAACTGGCTGTTTGCTAAGTTACTTTCTCTCTCTATATATATATATATACACACGCATTTACATTATCATTTATTACAATTTATTCAATTTGCATCCCAGATGAGACACCCTCCCTTGCTGGGGCATAGAGGGAGCATGGGAATGGGAGGTTACTACTTTCTCTATTTTCTCTACTCATCCTGTCTTAAAGGGAGATGGTTTAGCAGACTTCTACTAACTTAAAACATATACTGTAATGCTCATAACTCTAGTGAATGTTGGACTGAATCAGTGGTGTAAATAACTGAAATTAGTGTTTTGTTGTTGTTAAGACAGGTCTCACTTTATTACTTTGGTTGGTGTGGAACACACTATGTGTTAAGATCAAAGGCATGTACCATGCCCAGCAAGAAAAAAAATGTTAATTACGAAGAAAATTAAAATGACAAATGGCACTTACAATTTACACCTTTAGGTAAAACAGGATCTCATATAGGCCAGACTGGCCTAACTCACTAGGTAGCCAAGGATGAACTTCTTTGCTACTCAGTGATGGGATTACAAGCAAACACCATGCCCAGATTCTTCACAATAGTAACTTCTGATCTAATTTACAGCAGTGGCAAAACTACTGAGTATGAGGAGGTGTATGTGGGACCGAGGCTACTGCTTTCCTTCTTCAAGCTATGAAACTGAGACACATTTGAAATGCTTGGTACTTTGAGAACCCTAAAATGGGAGTCAAGAGAAAAAATGCTCACACTAGGAAAAAGAATGGGAAGAACGAGCTGGGGCTTAATTTCGTTGGTGGGTAGTTTAAAAGCCTTGGCTTTTTATTTTATAGCTTAACTGTTGAACATCACAAAGCAACAGAGTAGGCCTTCAATAAGGAACAGGCATTTATCTAATCTCTCCCCACCCACACTGCTGTAGCCAATCCTTCCCTCAAAATGTAGATATTTTTCCATTCTCACCCTTCCTAACAAAGTATAACAGGAAAAACTCCAGTTTTAGTGGACATCTTTATTGTTCAATTGTTCAACTTCTCCTACAGCTGGAATTTCAACATATTTCCATGCTGAGTCATGAACAGTGACAACACTAGCCAGAGGCTGCAAAGAGAACTAAGCTTTCACAGCTCACTTCCTTTTACAGGCAGAATATAAATAGATGCACTCTAGAATGCACAATGGTTTTAGTCACTAAGGAATTTAAATGGGATCTTGAAGAATGTAGACAAATCCTGATGCGGCAAAGATGAGCTGAGATGCTGTGCAACTGTTTAAGGGTTCCTGGTGCTGGCCAACTCCAAATGGAGATGCAGAAAACACTAAGTTGACTTAGGGGCTGTGCACAGACACCAAAAGGCAGATAAATACTAAACATTGCTGAGAGCATCCACCCCAGGAAGGACTTTACCTGTTTTCAAGAGAGCACAGAGACAGCATTACTGTAAGATCCACTAAGCTACCTCTGCCCCTTTTTGTCCTACCAATACGAGCTCTTTATCAGGTTTTAGGGCAAGAGTTAAAAACTCCTGCATTCCAGGTCCCAGGTCAATTAAAATGTGTTCCTACCTACCCCTCCCACCAAGTAGGTGCAGAAGCTTTATTTGTGATACCTAGCTAATGTGACTGGCCAAAGCTCTCCACTCTTCCCCACCTCTCAGAGTGCAGTCCTCACCCTGCCTTCAAATAAGCCACAACATGGAGAACCACCTCACCTTCCAGGAGCTCTAGACTGGCACCACCTCCAGTGCTCACATGGCTGACCTTATCTTCTGTGTTCCATTTGGCACAGCAAGTGGCAGTGTCTCCACCACCTTTTGAAATGAAAATCAGAGGGAAAAATAAGTTTTTGGCACCAAAACTGTGCTTCCCAACTGAAAATATAGCCAAATGACCCAAAATGATCCCCCCAATCCCATCTCAAGATGCCCTATGAACAACACCTTCATGAACTGTCAGCTTAAGATTTACCCAGAGCCAGAACCCCCCCCCCTGCCTTCCCCTGACACAACTGTTATGTGTTAGTGTGGGTTTCGTACAGGACCCCTTACCTATGATAGTGATGCAACCTCTAGAAGTAGCTTTTACCACTTCATCCATGAGGGACTTGGTTCCCTTGGCAAAAGCTTCCCATTCAAAGACCCCAACAGGTCCATTCCAAACAATCTGCTTAGCTCGAGCCACAGCCTCAGCATATTTCTTGCTGCTCTCAGGACCACAGTCCAAGCCCTAGAGAATAACACAGTCAAGAAAACTTAATAGGACCAAATACCACCTCCACCAAAAGTATAATGTAAGGCTGAATATCCAAAGTTTCTACTAAGGCCAGGCAGTGGTAGTGGATGCCTGTAATCCCAGCATTCAAGAGGCAGAGGCAGAGGCAGGTGGATCTCTGAGTTAGAAGCCAGCCTGGGAATACAAGATGAGTCCAGGACAGCCAGGGCTACACAGAAAAACCCTGTCTTGAAAAGAAAAAGTTTCTACTAGAATCAAAATGTACAAAAACATTCAACTTTATTAAAGATCAAGCAAGAGGAAAATCTGATGTTACTTAAAAAAAGCATTTTTGATCTCTATGGCAGCCAAGATCTAGAGATCAGTGGTTCTCAACCCACAGTGATTCTGCCTATCCAAGGAGATATGCTGAGACATTTCTGGCTGTTACAACTTGGGATGTGTACAGATATCCTATAGCTTGTGGCATTTTACATATGTCACAATGTAACAACAGCCTCAACACAGCTGGAAATGACTGAGAAGTACTGAAGGTGATCAAACCTTCCGTGTGTCAGACTCTCCAGGAACCCTTGCTTGGATCCCACTCCTAGCATTTTATTTACTAGGTTTGAAATAGGGCTCAAGAATGGGCCTCTCCCCCCTCCCATTTTTACTTGATCTCACTATGCACTTTGACTGGCCTGGAATTTGCTATGTAGACCAAGCCAGCCTCAAATTCAGAGTGGTACCATGCCTGGTATCATGCATGTGTATATGACACACGTATATGGGGGATCCCACAGTGGCCAGAAAGGTGGGTGGATCCCCTGGAACTAGTTACAAGCGGTTGTGAGCCTCCCAATGTAGTAGGTACTAGGAACCTAACTCTCCCCCTAACCATTAAGCTATCTCTCCAGACCCTAAATTTGCCTTTTAAAAACAACTTCCCAAAGTGATCCTTATGGAACCATACTTTGTGAAACAATGTAATAGCAAAATGTCTAACAAGAAAAAGAAAGATAAGCACCAGCAATCAACATGATATGATTTTAGCTATCAAACTAAAGGTATAGTGACATAACAGGAAGCAGAGGCAGGGTGATACAGTCTAAATTGATATGGTCCAAGGTTCACCTAAACTATATAACACAAAAGATAAAGACTATGATGAAAATGAAAAAGAGAAGGCAAACTACGGTCAATTATAAATCTCTCATATAAATATATTTTTCATATATTGCTTATAATTAAGTGCACTTTTGTTTTTTGGTGTTTTTTGAAGACAGGATTCCTCTGTGTAAGTGCTCTGGTTGTCCTGGTCAGCGTTGGCCTAGAACTCAGATCTGCCTGCTTAGTGCTGGGATTGAAGGCATGTGCCACCACTGCCCAACCACTTTCATTATCTTTTTTTTTAACAAATTATGAAACACTATTCTTTTTAAAGATTTATTTATTATTTATACACTACTCTTCCTGCATGTGTGCCTTCAGGACAGACAAAGGCACCAGATCTGATTATAAATGGTTATGAGCTACCATGTGGTTGCTGGAAATTCAACTCAGGACCTTAGGAAGAACATTAGGTGCTCCTAACCTTTGAGCCATCTCTCCAGCCCCCACTTTCATTATCTTAATGTCTTCTGAGAATGTTTTTACTTATCGTGATTATTGTGGGGAGCACAACTTTTGGAAACCCATTCTCTTCCTTTCAGTACAGGTACCAGAGATATAGCTCAGGTCCATTAGGCTTTTACCTGCTGAGCCATCTGGTCTACCTTAAAAGTTTACTTAAAATGGCTTGTAGCTATTAGCAGTGTAATCCAGCTCAAGCCATTAAAGTGCAGAGTACTATCTCTAGCACAGGGTTTGCCCTATTATTGATGAAAAGAGCAATCTGATAGCACTGCTTTCCCTGATGGATTTGGCCTCAAGTGCCCACTACAACATCTGTAGTCCTCTTTGACAGACAGTTCCCATGGAGATTATTAATATAAAATGGTTGGGGGCTGGAGACATGGCTCAGAGGTTAAGAGCACTGGCTGCTCTTCCAACGGTCCTGAGTTTAATTCCCTTAACTACATGGTGGCTCATAACCATCTATAATGAGATCTGGCGCCCTCTTCTGGCAATCAGTTGTACATGCAGATAGAGCACTCATATACATAAAATAAGTCTTTAAATATATATGTATATGTTTGTGGGACAGAAGGGATGCAGCTCAATGGTAAAACACTTAACATCTGTGAGGCACTAAACTAGATCTCCAACGCCACAAAATAAAAATGTCAGATGAATGAAGGAATATCAAAAATTTGTTATTCCTTAAACAACCAAACAACCAATTGACTCACCATCCAGCCAGCAGGTATACCAGAGGCAATAGTAGCTTGGCCAGTCTTGGCATTCTCATCAAATTTGTCAGCAGTGACAAAGTCAACAGGCAAAGTAATCTTCACACCATTTTTCTCAGCTTTGGACATGAGATCTTTGACAATCTTGGCTCCTTCTTCATCATACAGAGATGTGCCAATCTACACAAGAGATGAAAATCAGCCCCTAAACTAAGAACATGACTAACAAAACAGACAGGAGTAGTGGTCCTCAACCCTCCTACTGCTAGGAACCTTTTATTTTCTTTGCTACTCCATAGCTAAATTTGCTAGATATGAAATATAATGTAAAATCTGATGTGCAGGATATCTGATATATGACCCCTGTGAAAGAGTCTTTTGACACCTAAGGGGTGTCAACCCACAGGCTGAGAACAAAAGCTAAGCAACTCCACAGGTGGAATGAAAATGTTCTTAGGATTCACATTAAGTTTATATATACATTACATTAACATAAACTGCTATCATTAATGAGCCATTTCACAGCCACTTGCCATTGGCTCCCTACCTCCATATTGTTGAGCACCTTAAGGAAGGTAAAAGCCATCCCACCACCAATGATCATCTCATTGACTTTGTCCAGCATATTATTGATCAGCTGAATCTTGTCAGCAACTTTAGCTCTAGAAGAGAAAGCAAAAATCATAAGCACAAACAATTGACAAGTCTAGTGCTAATATTCAGGGCCACAACAGGAGAAGAGGAAATGCCTAAAACATCAAAGGGACTGCTGAACTTTGCATTGTTTTTCCAACACTTTGTGCTTTGAAGAAATCTTTTCATGGTAGGGCTAGAGAAAGGATACTCTAAGGCTGAGAGCATAGCCAAGTATGAAAGCACTTGTCTTCTGTGTGTAAAGCCCTGGATGTGATCCTCAGCACCACAAAAGCAGAAAAACAAAACCTCCCCATCTAAACAACCATGGCCCTATCCAAAATTCACAAGGCCCAGATGGCCAGATTAGTAACTGAGGGTCTGAATGAAAATGTTCTCCACAAACTCATCTTTGCATGCTTAGTCTAGAAAGAATGAGGAAACGTGGCCTTATTGGAGGAGGGATGTTACTGGGAGTGGGATTTAAGGTTTCCAAAGCCCATGCCAGGCCCAATGTCTGTCTCTGTCTCTCTCTGTCTCTCTGCCTAAACAAAACAACAACGACAAAAAAAGGGTTCATGGTATCCCCAGCTTCAAGTGTTCAGAGGTCTTGCAATATAAAATCAGGTCAAGTCAAAGGAAGACTGCTGTATTTCAGGGTTATTCTAAAACCTCAGTACAACCAACAGAGAACATTCACTCCCATATTCCAGATCTTCAAGAAAGCTAAAGCCGCACAGCTCGAATGTTAATTTGAAGCCAAAGTCTGATGCTTTGAACTCAGGAAACAAAAAGGTTCAATGTTTCCAGGAAACTTACCGTTTTTCAAGACAAAACAAAACCTTACACTCATCAGGGTTATTTTTAAGTACCCAGAAACAGGGCTCATGAAACTTAGACAGCACCTATGCTATGTGAAATTGACCCCCAGTTTGAGTCATTTTCATCAGGAAATTCTGAGTGTACTTAAGTCTTCAGGGTTGGGAGAACAGCCCATAAAAGAGTCATGGTCCTCTAAGCAGAAAGATGCTTCTACCTAAACAGCCATGCCAACTGAAAGGCGGATTTCACATGCACCAAGCAATAAATCCACTCAACCTTCACTTCTAAATGGTTTTTTGTTTTTTTTTTTTTTAAGCTAAACTACTAGATTACCACTATCCACACACTGCCTTTCACTAAAATAGATAAGTTATCTCTCCCTGGTTCCCTCTACCAGATGAGCAGCCCTACAACCCTGCCTCAAGACTACAATTTTAATCAGAAGTCCTTTTTCCCAGACTACCTCCTTAGAGTCCTCCCTTTGTCCTCAGATGGCTACAGCCCTACAACCCTGCCTCAAGACTACAATTTTAATCAGAAGTCCTTTTTCCCAGACTACCTCCTTAGAGTCCTCCCTTTGTCCTCAGATGGCTATTAGCCCTGGACTGTTACAGGATTTCCCTAAACCCCACTCTCAAATCTGTTAATAGTCCCTTTATTAAATTCTCCTCAGCTACCCAATGTGATTGCGCTCTCTGACCATAAAGCACCCCAGTTATGGCCACTACCAGGCTAATACTATTTAAAGTATATGATACAAATGTGTTCTTCATACCCTCCCAAGATAGCCAGGAAGGGTCGCTCTGGATTCTCCAAAGCCTTGGCAAAGTAGTTCAGCTCCTTCTTCATCAAAAATCCACCAGCCTTCTGTGGCAGATTCACACCCACCATGGAGCTAGGGAGAAAAAGAAAACAAAGGTATTCAAAAATCTCATCCCATTCTACCATTTTTACCCTACAGGCCAGCTCCTTATCACTAAAATGCTTTCACTTCTAAGAAACCAGTTTCATCACTAAACTGCAATAACATCTTAGATAACTTTTCTGACTAATAGTTTATGATCAAGGGGTTTATAAAAAAAGCAATGAACTGAAGTAGAATTTAAGAAACTCAAGTAAGGGTTGTAAAGATGGCTCAGCAGTTAAGTTCACTTGCTGCTCTTGCAGAGGACCTGGGTTTAGTTCCCAGTACCCACAGGACAGCTCAAAACCCTCTGTAACTCCACCCCAGGGGATCATATTCCCTCTTCTGGCCTCTGAGGGCACTGCATGTACAGGGTGCAGAGAATCGTGCAGGCAAAATCCAAGGTTTTTTTAATGCACAGTTAATAGTTTAACAACAGGCCAAAGGTTATATAAATCACAGAATATAATTAGCCAGTTGATGAAAACATAGATGTTTTGATGTTTAAAAGGAGGGGAGGGAAATCTATACAAGGTATCCAAAGTTAAAGAAACTTATTCCTGAAGCTCCACAATAAAAGCTTTTTCATTCAACAGCTATCTGTATTTCCACATAGAATGAGGATATTTAACAAGGACCATATATAGCTCCAAGTAGAGCTAGAAATTAAAAGGATGCGTCTCTTGGTTTCTATTGCCAACTTGAGACAACCTAGAATTCCCTGGTAGAAGGAACCTCTTGCTCAAATTGTTTGTGAGGCATTACCTTGATTGCTAATAGATAATAGATATAGGAGAGCCCAGTCCACAATGGGTGGTACCATCCCTAGGCTGGTTGGTGGTCCTGGACTATAAAGAAAATTGGCTGGCACTGGTGGCATGATAGCCCATGCTTTTAATTCCAATAATCAGGGGGCAGGTAGATGTGTGTGTTCAAAGACACTCTGGTCTACAGGATGAATTTCAAGCTAACCAGGACTCTGCCTCAAACAAAAAGGTAGTCAAACATAAACCAGTGAATGAGCCAGTAAGTAGATTTAGTTCCTCTCAACTTCTCTCAGTGACGGATTGTGCTCAAGAAGCATGCCAAGCAAACCCTTGCTTCCCATATTTTGCTTGATTTTGAGAAGCAGATGGCAAAAATAGCCTAGAATTTGAACCCAAGCACCAAGAATCACTGTGTTCTGCCTAGTACTGACAAGGCTCCCAGTACCTGTGGGCTCGGTGTGCAGTCCCAAAAGCATCATTGACATAGACATCTCCTAATTTGGACAGTGAGGCTCGAAAAGCATCAATTTTGGCTGGCTCGGCTTTAATCTGCAGGAAAAAAAAATGTGGAAAGGAAACTTAGAATCTTCTTAAACATCTTGAGACCAACAGGTTATCTTTTTCTCCCAAATATTCCAGGACCTTTGGTCATTTCTTGTCACCTTTGCCTCCCCCTGAAAAATGTACCCATGTATGTGTACCCACATATATATATATGCACACACATGAATATCTAAGAATTTCAAAACTAAAGTTTGAGGGAGAATAGGATAAGTTGAAAGCTTTTCATGGAAAAGATGCTCTAGAAATTAACAATCAAGACATGTCTCGTTTTTGACCTGTTAATTCTAAAAATAACAATGTAGGTAAACTGAACATTCAAGTATTGAGGTGGACAGATGGCCCAGTGCTAAGAGCACTTGCTGCTCTTCCAGAACTCATCCTGGAGCTCACAACTGCCTATAGCTCCAGTGTCAGGGAATCCAAAATGTCCTCCTGTGTACCTGTACAGCCATGTACTCACACATGCGCGTGCGCATGCCCACGCGCACACACATACACACAGGCACGCACGCATGCACACACCCACAAAATAAAATAAACTTTTTAAATTAAATTGCCTTCATCTTGTTTGTGTCCAATTTAGGGTTAGTTTAAAACTAACTATTCCTGCAATCTTAGGCACTCTAAACCATTGGTTCTGAATAGCAAGTGAATTGGCAAGAGCTAAGAAAGTCAGAGACTAGTATAGTAAGTTCATTGATTCCTGAATCATCCTACATCAACTCCAGTTACTCCTGACATTTCTAAGCACTAGAGTGTGTTCATCTTGAGTTTCAGTTTTAAAGGGCACCAAATTTTAGGCCAGCGCTTGGCTAGTTGTACTGTAGCAAGACCACACCAATGCAGGATAGGGCCAAGCTCAGGACCTTCAGTGCTAAGAAAAGAAACTGCTTGAAAGCAAGCACTACAGGTGACCTTAAGAAATGTCAGAGGTCAAAGGGGGGACTGATACATACCCCTCAGAGCATCATGTTCTCACATCGTTCAAGTCACGAAAAGGAGAAAAATACTAGAAAGAGCCTTTAGCGTTCCTTCTAACCAAGGGTAAATCCAAAAGCATGCTCAAAAACGCAGTTCTACTAGTTTTCATACTTGAATTCTGTTGTCCGGTCTAGTAACCAGTCTTGCAGATTGTCTACAACAGCCTTTCTATGACAATAGACTGTCAACAACTGCAACTGACTACATGACCTTAGGTCTACAACATTTACTATCTGGTTCTTTGTGGAAAAAGACTGAACCCAGATGACAACCTTTCTGAAACCCCGGCTTTTCTGAGATCTGTTTCTTTAGCAAATGAGGAGGACAACTGTAGACTAAAATGAAAATAGTGTATTTCCTAAGAAAGGGCCTTGAGTCAGGTGTGGAAGGACAAGCCTGTAATCCCAGCACTTGAAAGGTGGAAGAGTTCCAGGTCGTCCTAAGCTACATCAAGTTCAAGACCAGCTTGAGTTACACAGCACAGGAGCAACCCTGAGACCTTGTCTCAAACCACTCCTATACAACCGAAGCAAGAAAAGCCTTAAGTAATCTCACTATGACTATTACATTCACTGAATATTCTTATTATCCAATAGAATTCAAAGGGATTTCAAAACATGAACAGGAAGAGAGGTTTTGCAGTGCTGGTCACATTCCATTCCTTGACCAGGTAGTGATTATGAAGTGTGTCTATACTCTGCAATAATTCAGAATACATCATGCTGTGCATTTACACAATTGTTTCTGCAGTGCTAAAGATTGTGCCCAGGAAACTGTACACTGCCACTGAGCTACATCCACGGCCCGCATTTGTACATGTTTACATGTATGTTACACTTTAATTTAAAAGTTGGGGAAAATAAAAATGAGCTTCTTCTATTCTTCCATTATGACCGCCTATAAATTCAGGCCCTAAGGCCCAATAAAATCAAAATGATAGGCCCTACCTTGTTCCCAGAAGCATCTTTTCCCTTCCCTTCTTCCTCTACATGAAAGCGAAGGTTCTCTAGCAGGATGACAGTCCCAGCTGTTGGGTTGGCGCAGGCATTCTCTACTTCTGGGCCCACACAATCCTTCAGGAACAGAACATCCCTGGGGGAGGGGCAACAAAAAAAAATCAAGAGACTAGAGTAGGCTGAAAGTTTAGAATTAGAATCTATGACAGCATGGTGACTCCCTCACCTCCCAGAGCTCAACAGCACTACAGCTCTGTACTTACTTGCCCAGAAGAGATTTGAGTTCTGCAGCCACTGGCTCTAATGAGTACTTGTCGGGCATGGGAACACCATCAGGACGGCCTAGGTGGCTCATAAGAACAACCGACTTAGCTCCATTGTCCAAGCAGAATTTGATGCTTGGAACAGCAGCCTTGATCCTAATACCAAGAGAAGACAGAAGAATGTTATTCTGAGGGATTAGTGGGAACTATTTTAACTTATGACTTCATAAAATAAAGCCCTGTTTCTTCTCTAAGCTTCAAGTCCGACAGTAGCAGAATTCAGATTTGAGTTCAGGAGAAGACAAGCATGATACAAACCTGGCACCTGGAACTACTTAGTCTCATCATGGATCTGCTCCTCATGCAAAAAAGAACTTAGCAAGTTTGAGGCTGCTGTCTACAGCAGGACCTGCCAGGGTTAGTCCTTGGTATTTAGAGGAGCTGGGGGGGGGGTATGTATCTGAGTTGGTAAAGTGCTTCCCTGGCATGCACAAAGCCCTGGGACAATCATCAGATTTCACCTCTGCCCAAGAGAAAGAAAATGAAGTATCATTCAGTCACAAAACAATCTACATATACATAAAATAAGTCTTTAATTAGATAAACAAAAAAACCTCTTGAGGCTGGAGATAACTCAGCAGGTAAGAGCACTGTCTGCTCTTCCAGAGGTCCTGAGTTCAATACCCAGCAACCACATGGTGGCTCCCAACATAACGTGATCTGATGACCTCATAAAATAAATGAACTTTATAAAAAAAAGACTTAATTTAAAATAAAGGGCCAGGCTTCATGGCATACACTTGCAACCCAACACTTGGAAAGCTGAGACAGGAGGATCTAAAGCTCAAGCCCAGCATAAGCTGAGACCCTGTCTCAGAAAAAAATGTCTTGAAATAAAGTCTTTCTTATATAATTTTCTCAGAAGCCACACAGTACTATTACTTAAAAACTCTGTGTCTGCAGGGGCACTGGAGAGATTGCTCAGTGGTCAGGAAGGCTTGCAGCTGCTCTAAAGGACCTATGTTCAGTTTCCAACAGCCATGTCAGCTGTCTTACAAACAACCACCTGTAACTGCACCTCCAGTGTTATCCAATACCCACTAAAGGCAACCACCACACACACACACACACACACACACACTTAATTAAAAATAAATCTTTACGAAGAAATCCTTCTTCTAAAGCTAATACCTAAAACACCAGGTAAGCTAAACTGCCTGAAGTCTGTTTTTTTTAAGAGGCAAAAGTAAATTAATCCTCACACCCAAAAAAACCCCACACTATCTGGGATATTTAGGAATCTGATTGAACTACATATAAGCTTAAAAATACTGATATTGTAAATTGTTCTCTTGCATAGTTTGTTTTTTAAGAAGTCAATTAACCTTTATTTTTTTAAAAGGAGTATCTCCAAATTCCTTCAAAAATAATTTTTAAACAAGGACTCTCAGGATGTTTTTGTTGTTGTTAATGGAGTTTGAGAGAGGTCTGGAACTTTCTGTTTGGAATATTTTTATTCTGTTTTAAAATATTTTTATTAATTATTCAAGAATTTTATACAATGTATGTTGATCATATTCACTTGTTTTAGCTCCCTCAGTGAGACAAGTTTTTGAATAGCCTAGGATGGCCTCAAACTGGTTTTGTAGCTCAGGTGACTTTCAGCTTAAAACTTAGGCCCTCCCAAGTCCACTCTCCTAAGCACTATGATCCCAAGGATCATATGTACATACCACAATATCAAGCTAAATTTTTTCTTTTTTCTTTTTTTAAGTTTTTTGAGATAAGGTCTCTTTAAAGACCTGGCTGTCCCAGAACTAATTGTGCTGACCAGGTTGTCTTCAATCTCAGAGATTTGCCTGCCTCTGCCTCCCAACTGCTGGGATTAAGGCATATATCACCACACCTGGCTTAGGATGATTTTTTTAATACAATAATTTTTAAAATCCCACACTGCAAAACAGGTTAGTAAAGACAAAAATCCCGTGATTTTCAGTTGCTGTATGTCCACACTATAAATAGAAATTTGCATCCCATATACTCACACATCTTAAACCCAAGCTAGGTTTAGTCAGGATCTTACCTTTGGTTATTTGTTATCTGGTTATTCTTCATAGGAACATTGAAGTCCACCCTAGAAAAGAAAAAGGTTGCAGTTTCAGAGATATAATCAACAATTTAAAAAGCCAAGTCACACCTTTAAAATAAGAGGCATTAAAAGAGGGTTGGCAAGATGGCTCAGGTGGTACAGGCACTTGTTAGCAAGCCTGGCACCGAGTTTTATTCCTTAAAAAATCTCCAGTTGCTTTGGCATGTGCATGTACACATATATGCACACAAATGTCATTTTAAAAATATTAACCAGACAGTATTCAGTCACTGTCAAGAGTGCCTGGGATTGGATGGCAGACAAGGACTTCGTGGTTATGGGTTCATGTTCTACTTGTTTCTACACAATGTACTCATTTCAGAGTAATTTTTGTATATATGACTTGTATCTTTTTAGATATGTAGCTAATATAGTTTTAAAAATTTTCAAACCACAAGAACTAGTCCAGAACACCTGGGAAGCTAAAGTCAACTATACCTCATACGTCCCTGGCCCTGTTTTATCACTAGGAACCAATTCTGAACTTGTTTCTGTATGGTAGCTGATTTTATTATTTTTTTTTTTTTGAGGCAGACTATGTAGTGTAGCTGTTTCCATCTCCTGAAGTGTATATCAAATATATCCCAAGACCATTTTCAATTAGTTATTCTTAAGTCTGTGAAGTTATTATAGTATCTAGCTCACAGTTAAGAGAAATAAGCTAGTAAATGCTATAAGGCTTGGAAGTGGCACAGTATCACAAAAGTGTTAGCTATTATATGCTAATGAGTCCCCAAACTGTAATTGTTATTTCAAAGAGCAACCATACTAAACTCATTACTAAAAATACCTAATACCACTAAGTTAGGACTGTTACTGTCCTTGACTGTGAAACTCCATCTTTTCCTATCTGTTTCCTGGTCTTTCCTGTCTGCAGCAATGACCACAAATCCTGCAGATCCAAGACTTCCTCTTTAACTTGAACACTAATCTACCTTGATCAGGAGCTTGAGGAACAGTCCTCAATTCATTTAAGAAAGCCTTAAAAATTAAGAGGCACTATGCCTCTGAACGAAGAAATATACTCTAATTGGTTTCAGGCACTTAAGGCATCTTCTTTAAATAACCTGAGCAGGTCCTTGCCAGCCATAAATGTGCAGACCAAAGCAGATCAAGTATCCCACAACCATGACTGACTTCCCCTCTTGCAGCCTGCCAGGAAAGCTAACAGACAAAAAGGGTTAACTGCACAGGATGAGCAGTGCAGCTCCGTGCACCCAGAACCTTACAGGAAGGAATGCCTTTGGGCTGAAGTGATGAAAGCTTACTGGTGAAAACTGGATTAGTTTTCTCGCTGCCATCTTGATTACCTTCAACCTTCACTTATGGTGTCCTAGATTCACAACTTTGCTTTTAGCTTCTCTTCTGAGGACTCCAAAGCAGGAACAGCATTGCCTACACATTTCACTTGTACACACGTACGTACACACACACACACACATACACAATGCACCCTTTTCTACTTCCCAGGATTACTCAAGCTTTTTCTCAAGCACAAACTCAAGTATCACTACATATACCATATGCCAACTACTACGCCCCAAGAAGCCAGATTCAGCTACCCTGCCCTGATAAGCCAGTTAGAAACAGGCAAATTAGTAGGAGGATTAGTAGGAGGAATCAGAAAAAGGACAGTGATTCAAAGTCAACATAAGAGACAAAGCAATCCAGTGACCTTCCAAATCCATCTTCAGGAACCTGAAGTTCAAGTACAGAGCCAGGCAGGGATACACACACCTGAGCAACTAATACATCTCCCCACATGTCAGCAATCTAAAGATCAAGGTATGGTCCCACCCACCACTGATCCATCTTTTTCTTAAGGTTTAACTGCCAGAAAATGGCTCAAGCTTTTCTTCTCCCAGCAGGAGATTCCTGGGGGAAATCCCAATTTCTTAGAGACCACTGTTTGTCTAGTAGCTAAACCATCTCCTCTATATTCATTTCTGCTGACTGGTTACACTACCACCAAATACTGATGAGGATGCAGAAAAACTCATCACTCATGCACTCCTAACAGGAATGCGAAATGGTGCAGAACCTTTCGGGAGCTTTCCTGGGTTAAAGATAGGATGCTCAGTGGCAATCCCAGTTCTAGTGTTTTAACAAAGAAAGTACAGCATGTGACTAAACCAAGACTTGCACCAAAAGAAAAAAAAAATCATAGCAGCTTCAATTGTAAAACCCCAAACTGGCAAAACCTTGCCAGCCTCCAATGGATGAATGATTCAACTATGACACACCCATACCATGAAAAAGTACCCAGCAATGCAAAAGAACATGCTGTTGGTACATGAACCTATTTAGATAATTATTGGATGAATACTGAGTGAACAGTGCAAGTTAGATACTGTGTGTAAATATAGATACAACATTTTTGAAATGACAAGGTTTTAAAAGTAGAACACAGGTCAGTAATCAGTCACTGGGGAAAAAATGAGTTTCTGTGCAGCCTTTGCAATCTTCTACAAATTTGTAATTATTGCAAAATAAAACTCTTTTTAAAAGTTAAATGGTGGTAGCAACAGCACACACCATTAATCACAGCACTAAAGAGGCAGAGGCAGGTGGATATCTGTGAGTTTAAGGCCAGCCTGGTCTACACAGTGAAACCCTGCCTCAAAAAACAAAACAAAAGAATCTTAAAATATTAAATTAGAATTTCAAGTCTTACTTGAAACCTAAGGATTCTAAGCCCAGTTCTACTAAGAAATCTCAAGGGAACCATGCCCACTGTTGCCTCATGGTCTGATTGCTAAATTACGTTAGTGTGGTGGTCTCTGCTGCTTTTTTCCCCCTACCAGGACTGCTGCTTTGCAACTCACTCACAAAACAAGTGAGGTTGGGGGAAAAAATGTACAAGAAAAAGAGAAGTACAGCAAAGGATGACTAGTAGTAACCTATGAGTGAAAAGGAAATGACATGACAAAATCAGCAGGAAATTTACTCAAATGGCCTGGTAATAATCAACTACAGTTGGAGGGAAGGGAGGGAAAAAACCTGAGGCAGAATCCGTTGGGGTTTCTGGCTATTTTAAGTATCTCCAAAAGGAGCTGGGGTGTGACTTAGTGGTAGAGCGATCAAGTACAAAATGGCTACTGTTTGATACCCCCAACAAATCAACTTCTCTTGCCAATTCAAACCAAAGAACTAGACAATCAGAAAAGTGCCCTTCTATACAGGGGAGAGGAGGCAAGTGAAACAGCCACTGCTCCAGGAGTCCCATTCCTGAGGCACTGCCAGCAACTACCACAAAAAGCACAGGGTATTGAGCACAAGGTATTGAGCTCACCCACGCATGGCTGTCTGGACTCCTCTAAAAAGCAAACCTACGATGCAATTCCCTATTCAAGATGCATTAATTATCAGGAAACAAAGAAGTGGCCTAAAAAAGAAAAACAAGTCCAATGCATCGATATTGCAGAAGGAAAGGAGGTTGCAACCTCCAAAGTCTATTTCACCCTATCCCTGGGTCATCATGTCGAAGTGTTTTGAGAATCTGATTGGTAGCTAAAGAGACCCAGATTCCAGTCCCAGCTCTGCCACAAAATTCCTAGTTCAATAGTCTTGAACATGGCATTTTCCACCAGCAAAACTGGACTTGCCAATCATCACAAGGCTCAAGGTTAACCTGTGGTAAGTGAAATTTTATTTGGTGCAAAGGAGAAAATCTGTTTCCTCCAGTCTCATCCCCAGATTTCATTTATTTTAAGACAATTTTCCCTGTGGAAGAGAGCATAAAACCCCAAACTGCCATTACAGGAAGATGACCAGGAAAATGCCCCTCTTTCAGCAGCTGACGAGGCCAGCCTCAAGCCAGTGGAGGTAGAATTAAATAATTTAAACCTTTAAGCTAGTTTTAAATCAACATCTACCTGTGTTGATTTCCACAAGGCCAATCTTCTATCCTCAGAGCAGTATCAAGGGCTAGCTAGAACCTGCCCTTTATTAATATGGTGGCTCGGATCTCTATTCTATCCTGATTACTAAGGCCTATCACATAACATATATTAAGTGTTTTGCATGAACATAATACACTGGGTTCTGGCTATCGGCACAGTAACAAGGCCACCTACCAAGTAATATTGGCTAGGAAGAAATATGTGCTGTACAGTTCTCAAACGCCAAAGTGCAGAGGCTCCCTTACATACATGTTAGTATCTGAAAGATGCCCTCAGTTGAATTGGACCAAATTGTGAAAGGGACCAGAATTACATCGTTCACATACTGCCAGTCAACCACTTGCCAAAAAAAAAAAAAGTCAAGCCAGCACAGAGTAGTCACTGCATTTATCTATGACTCTTCAAAATTACCATCCTTGAGTCCTAGTTACATGGACAGGCAGGTCCATCATTTCTGAATCTATTAATCCTTCACTTCTGGCACACACTATACATTATGAAAAGTAGAAATGTATAAGTCTTCATACACGCCAGTAATTCTATCAGGTAAGGGAGAAGCCAACTTAGTAAATGACCAGGGATCCACGTGTGCCGCATAAGCCTGCCATGTGCGTGGGGGCCTTCCTCACTTGTAATATCCTGCTTCTCTAGCCACCTCTGAGGGTGAGGTTACAGGCCTCCAAATACAGGGTGGCCACACCCTGCATGTGTCACAATCCTGATGCAAAACCAAGGCCAGGAGTCCAACAGCAAGGTAGAGCAGCTGAGGCCTGTTACATAAGATGTACAGACCATCCAGTAGGCTTCACCCTCCCACCCACAGTTCTTTGGGAAAAGGGACCTCCACTCCTGAGCATTTTGAGCAACATCCTCTAGGAAATAAATTCTTCTGTACCTGGAACAATGAAATGATTTCGTTAGGTATGGTCCAAGGACTGTGGAGGAGACGAAATTAAATGACCTTTCAAGGTCCCTCAACTGGGGCCTAGAGATTTGCAGGATAAGCATTAGGTCCCATCTCGCAACAGGAGCCAAACATGTACCCTGGAAATGAGAGAAGGATCGAGTCCTAAAAATCTGAGCCCTTTCTTGGGGAACACTATTGGTCGCTTTTTATGTTGGAAGAAAAGCAGTTAAGAAGCATCAAACCCGGGTACAGTCTCCGTCCCAAGGGGGTGAGGGGAACAGCCCAGACCTGCAAACCCAGGATCCCCCGAGACCCAGCTGAAAAGCAAGCTCAACTTAGGGTGCAGAAAAGAGTGATTGCCAAGCCCAGAGAGGCTGTGGAGAGCTCCGAGGGCTTGAGGGCAGCAGTACAGGATTACCTCATCACGACCCGCTTCCCCTTCACCTCCAGCTTGTCCAAAGTCAGCTTGTTAGAGAGCGACATTTTGGCAGCACGGTGGGGTCAAGACGCCCGGAACCAAGAAAAAGGAGACCACTGCGAAGGACGTGCGCTTTTGAAGCGTGCGGAATGCGAGACCGCGGGAGAACCGGAGGGCGCCCGCCCTGCCCCTAGCTCCGCCCTTGGACCCGCCCCTTCCCGGCAGCGGCTCCCAGGGAGCGAAGCAGCAAAGCTGCTATTGGCCGCCGACTAGAAGGCCGAACCCCCTTCCATTGCTCCGAAGCGCTGTCCATCTGCAAGGGACTAGTGGGACGTGCGACTTCTATTTGTCACGTCCTGCACGGCGAGAGCAGCGGAGGGGGGGGAGGGGGCTGGGGGAAGGGTAGCTTTCCTGACCAGGCGAGTAGAAAGTGGCGCGGAGGGGCCCGGAAGAAGGGGGAAGAAGGGAGCGGGTTACTGCCTCGGGGTAGATGGGGAATGTGTGCAACTTCAGAGGCCACTGGTGCAGCCAAAGTGCCCAGCGCGTCTGCTTAGCAGCGCATGCTCCGGACTGCCTTGGGAGCGGCGCCGCTCCCACCCGGTGGAATTCCCAGGGGCCTTTTGAAGATCTTTTTGCGAATGCCTTCTCCTTTTGGAATCCTCCGCATTCATAGCCCCCTAATGAAAGTCTACATAAGGCTTCACTTAGTAATAGAAACCTCTCAGAAGTCAAAAATGGACCAGGTCCTTCTCCACCTTTTATAATAAATACACTATCATTGCTGTGGTTACATTATTCATTGTAATGGTGGATACTTGTAGCATGTGTCATGTTAACTAACAATCCTCATAAAATTCCTAAGTACGTTCTGTTATTAAAGATGAAGTAACTTATGGAAAAAGATTCAGTGTCTTACCAAGACTGCAGAGCTTTTAAGTGACCATTTCAGTCCTGGGCCACTGGGGTTTAGACTCCTTTGTGAGTGTAGCTTAATGGCAAAATGCATGTGAGAGGCCCTGTATCCAATCTCCAGCACTGGAAAAAAAAAACGTTAAATCTCTACTGATAGTAATTTGGACAAAGGATGCTGCTCAGTAGTAAAGCACTTACCTTCAATCTAAGGCAGAACAGCTACTTAGAAAACGGAAGAGCACATGAGAAATGTAAGCCCGTCTTCACTCTCAGGGTTTTTGTTTCCACCGAGTAACTGACTAGACCACCTCTGAAAATTTCTACATCCTATGAAGTAACTCTGAAAGACAATACAATTTGTTTTCTCTCACAGGCAAATTTTATATAAGCAGCTATATGAAGAGGGTAGATATAGGACCACAAAAGGGGAAAAAACAGTTTTAAGAGGACAAGGTAAGAAGAAAAAAAAAAAAAACAGGGTAACAGAACACATGTGACACGGAAGAAACAAAGAACTACAGCCAACTGACAGAATGCTTGCTGAGAGCCCCCAATTGTTTGTCTAATATCAAGTAGTCAGCTCTGAAATCATACATATACAGTAACTTTAAACAGACTGAGAGGGCTGTATTTCTGTATTGAGGTGTATATACACACATACACACCCACACTACTTAAGGGGGAAAAAAAGCCATGAATTTGAGAAAGGAGCTGCCCTTTTACCTGCTAAGCAATCTCATTGACCCTGCATTTTGTCTTTCTGTTTTATCAACAAACTAACTTTCCTTCACTCTGAATCATGGTGAAATTCTTTTTCATGGTGGATGGCAAGGTCTCCAGGAGCTACTCTACCTCCCTCCGAAGGTGATTCCACAGGTTGCAGTGCCTGCAATGCTGAACTGCATGCCCTGACTCCATGGACATAACTACTTTTACATTTTTCCCTTATCCTTGTGTGTGGGTGTTTTGCCTGCATGTATGTCTGTGTTTAAGATAAACATTCATTTTGATCAATCCTTTCAGTAAAAAAAAGGTCCTTTCAACCTTACTGGGAAACAACTAGTTATTTCCAAATGAGTCTCTAGCCTAGCCTTCCAGTGAACTATCACTTGGCGGTTATTTCATTTCCCCTAAGTCAGTATTGTAATGAGAAACTGTGTTTGAGTAAGGTAGAGCTGCAATATTAAATGTCAAAGAGGAAACAATGCAAACATGGAACCTGACTCCCTGACTTGATGATTCTTCCCAATTTTTTTTTTCAAAACAGTGTTTGTCTGTGTAGCCTTGGCTCTTCTGGACTTGCTCTGTAGACCAGGCTGGCCTGCCTCTGCCTCGTGGAGTGTTGGGATTAAAAGTGCTCACCACCGCTCCCAGATGATTCTTCCCAATTACTGAGCACTTACTGTTCCTGAGACTCTGCTGAGGGCTGAAAACTGTGACTTACTACTCTTCACAAGAACTTTAGGAAGTAGGTATTGTATCTATTTGAAACACAGGAACACTGAAGATGAAAGAGAGTGTGATGCTTTTTCCACTACCTGGGCTGAAATAACACAGAGAAACAGACAGCCTATGCTGAGAAGCAGCCTGTGACAACAGAAAAAAAAAAGGAAAAATAGAGAACTCTACAATTATATGTGTGAGGCACAGTAAATATGGACCAGATCCCTTGGGTGTTATACCAATGTTAGAGACACCATTTCTATCCTAGTAGAACTGGAAAAACCATTCATTACAGTCAGTTACCCCGCCAGTAGCTATTCCCTACCTTTCTTGCTAACAGAAATCCGATTTAATAGAGCACAGGGTTAGTGACCAGTGCTCAGCAAAGATAGGCTTATATCCTAGCACCAAAGGATAAAATCAATGCTGACCTAAGCTGAACCTGGTAATCCCATCCCCCACATGTCCCTATGTCACACATTGGTCTGGGAATGGGCAGTAACCCAACTTAAGTCAATGAGATAAGAAAGAGAAGTCTGCTGTCTGCTGTTCTGGGGAACAACAGTGAACAGCGAGAATGAGAAAAGAAAGACCTGTGCACATATTGACTCCCTTTTTGTCTGTTTGTTTTGTTTCTTTGTTTTTCAAGACAGGGTTTCTCTGTGTAGCCTTAGCTCTCCTGAACTCGCTTTGTAGATCAGGCTGGTCTCGAACTCACAGAGATCTGCCTGCCTCTGCCTCTGGAGTGCTGGGATTAAAGGCATACAACACCACACCTGGCTATGGATGCACTTCTTTTTTTTTTTAAGATTTAGTTATTTATTATTTATACAATATTCTGCCACACCAGAAGAGAACACCAGATCTAACTGTAGATAGTTGTGAGCCACCATGTGGTTGCTGGGAATTGAACTCAGGACCTTTGGAAGAACAGCCAGATGTTGTTAACCTCTGAGCCATCTCTCCAGCCCCTATGGATGCACTTCTAATTAATAAAATGTTTGAAAGTAACCATGGATGATACTTCCACACTAGGCCATGAAATGCATTATGAGGATCTATCTATCTATCTATCTATCTATCTATCTATCTATCTATCTATCTATCTCCTCTCTCCCCTCTCCCTCCCTCCTCATCTCTTCCCCTCCCCCCTCCTTCCTCTTTCTCCCCCTCTCTGATCTTTCATTCTGGGGACAGCAATTCCCATACCTTGGGATCATTCAGATAGTTATATGAGGTGGCCCAAATGGTGAGGAACTCAGAGAACCTTTCACCAGCCAGCATAGACCTGAGTCCTGCTACCTGCAGCTCTATAAAGATGTCACCTTGGAAGTGGACTCTTACTGTCTCCAAGTCACACTTTCAGATGTCTGCAGCCAGGAGTGCATATAATTACAATCTCAGGAGATGCTTCAAACTAAAACCAGTTTAACTGTTTGTCAAATTCCTGACTCACAGAAAGGATGAGATAATATATATTGTCTTGAAGCTACTTTGAGCTACTTTATTACTCAGAAATACACAATTGATAGACTCTCACCAATGATTTTGTTCTGAAAGACAAAACAATCACCTGAACATTGAGAATAATGAACTCAAACTACAGAACATCTGAGGTGTTGATGGCATCAGTGGTTTACTGAATTAAAAAAAAAAAAAAAAGATACATACACACACAGGACCCTTGTACCTACTTTTCTATCATGTGGGGGAAAAAAAACTCTATGATCAAGTTTACATTTTTGTAATTTTCTTTTTAATAAAAGGGACTCACTATGTGACCCAGGCCAGACTCAAACTCATGACTCTCCTGTATTAGCCTCATGAGTGCTGGGATTACAGGTATATACCACCACAACCAACTACACATCTATTTTTTTTTAGAGATTTCCACATCTGCTAATATTGGAGTAGATAGTTGAGACAGATTTTCACTGAACAATACTTAAAAAACTGGGCTTTTGAGAGGGACAGTTGCTGGAAGCTATGCCAAGGATTGAACCTACTCACACACGCTAGGAAAACATCCCAACTATTTTTAAAGATGGGATCTTATTACAGCTGTTCAAGCTGGACTTGAACTCACTCTGTAACCCAAAACAAACTTTAAGCTTGTGATTCCTCCCTGCTCCATTGTCCCAGGCACTGATAATGTAGACCTATGCCACCAGATTCATCTTAGCCCAATTTAAAACATTGTTTTTGGAGCCATGTGCACACTGGCTCCCAGCACTCAGGAAGAAGAGGGAGGTAGATCTCTGTGAGTTGGAAGTTAACCTGGTCTACAAAGCCAGCTCTGGGACAGCCATGGCTGTTACATAGAGAAACCCTGTCTTGCAAAACAACAACAACAACAACAAAACAAAACAAAAAAAAAAAACATTGAAAAGAAGTCTGGGGCAGAAAGATGGCTCAGCAAATAAGCATCTGCCATCCTGAGTCTAAAACCTTGGATCCACATGGTATGAGAAAACTGACTTGCACAAGTTGTTCCCTGACCTCACATGCATGCTGTGGTACACATGTATGAACACACACACACACACAAATACATTTTTTAAAAGAAGTAAGTCTGTAGTTTGGATTATTTTCCTACAAAGGCATATGCCAATTCCTGAAGAGGCAACTGAGACTGAAAAGGTGAACATGGCTTCGGTTAGATGCCTAAGAGTTCAGAGTCCATCAAGGAAAGGACCACTTGTATTTGAATGCTTAGTCAAAATAGAGTGGAACTCCTTGAAAGAATTAGAAGGATTAGAGGTTCGGCCTTGTTGGAAGAAGTGCATCAGTATAGGTAGACTTTGAGGTTTCAAAAAGCCCGTGCCAACCCCAGTGTGTT